CCTTTGATTCGAGCGAATTTCACGCTCAATGTGCCTCTTTCTTTCGAGGCTCGATAATTTTTTTATGTCGTTAACGAATACGCTTCATAATCAAATGAAGATTGGAATGTTGTCCCGTTCATAGACAATTTTGAACATCGATGGATAAATCGTACCATCAGAATTTACGGAGCGCGAGCTTGTTTTCCGCGTGACACGCTAATGCAAAAGCTCAAGTCCTGTCGGAATTTTCAGTGAAATCGTGATTCCCTATGGCTTCAGCACTTCGTTCCACGGTAAACTGTTTACTCCGGTTGTTAATCTCCTTTCCGGCGACGAAATAAAAACGCTCGTTTAATTGTCGACACGAGCAGTGAGGGAACAAGAGAAAGAGAAAGCATGCACCGCGGCAAAAATCGCGGTGTCGCTTTTCCTGCGGGCTTCAGTATAAACTTTTCATTCGTTTGTTTTTCCCTTGGCAGACTGAATATGCATGACCACGTGAACAGCCACTTGGTAAAAACAGTACTTCTCGTGCATGACTTTTTTTAGAGATTTTGGTCTGCCAGTCTCCGTGATTGGTGGCTAAGGTCCAACGAAATAATTCCAAAAATCGAGTTAAATGAAGTTAATCAAAATCAAAAATAAAAGTAAATTATTCAAAATTTTCAAACTTTGATGGTTACTATGACATTTGTTTAATCGCGAACGAAGAAATATATTCCTGGAAGAAGCCTCGCAAGACAGAATGTATAGAGACTCGAAAGTTCTTTTAAATTATCTTATCAAGTCTGTCCCTCGAACTGTGGTGATCTTTCGAGGCCGTTTGGCCGTCTGCCGAGATTTTTCATGGATATTTTTGTCGCGGCCGTGCATCGGTCTCTGCTCCGACCGAATCGTTGAACAATATGTAATAAGAAAGTCCACCTCTGCTTCGTAAAACAGTCGTAAAAATTAAATCTTCTATCGTACAATCGCGTGTTCTTCTACCCAATACGTGGATTTGCAAGCAATCCTAATTACGATCAAGCGCAAGCTTGTCTTCAAAAAGAATTACACTTCTAGCCGTCGTTTGCACGATTGCATTCCACTCGAGGAACTCAGCCCTGTGTTCCCTCGTCGTGATCCAAGTTACCCATGTACAACACACACGTGACAAACGAGCAGAAAATCGCGGTGATCGATGCACGAAGGATAGGAAACGATCACAACAACGAAACGTTAGACGCGGAGTCTCACCGCCGACTGACTGTAACACAGCTCCTCTTCGATCATCCCTCCTCTCTGTACGAGCACGCGGACTAGACGCATCGCGTCGCGTCGCGCCGCGCCGCGCCGCGAGTCGCGAGTTCTGCGCGAGCCGCTACGCAGGAATTTCTCCGCTCGATTGTTCGACCGATTCGCACTATTCTACCAACCTTGCTGCCTCGACTCTCTAACCGTGGCTTTCCTCCTAACCGTGGCTTCTCTCTTTTCTCCTGCATCCCCTTGTCTATAGCGACTCTCACATTTTCGAATGTGCACGTGTGCGCGCGTGGTTTCCAATAGTATGGCACAGAGTTTCAACAAGGAGATTCGTGGAAATTTGCGGTGGCCAGTGTGCGTCGTAATTGCGTTGCCCGATAATTGTCGCGTAATTGTTGTCGTCGCGTCGCCAGGACCTGCTTCTTATTTTCCTTTGCCGCGCACACTCTGCCAGATAGCGACGTAATCTCGTTTGCGTTTCCGCTGCGACCAACAACCAACCACGCTCCCTCTAGCTAACCGTGAATACCTTTCCAATGTTTACCGTGCCACTGGTAACGCTAGTGGAATAGAAGTAAAGCACAGATTATAAAAGATCCTCGGTATAAAAGATGTGAAACAACAGTTGAAATCCGTTTTGTTGCTAACGCCATGGAAAATTGTTACGAGAAAGGATTTATCTTGTAGCTCTGCAGACTGTATGTATACTTGCAAATTCAATGAGGTAGAAATTGAATGATGAATTTGTATCTTCGTGTGCAAAAATCAGCAACGATAACGTAAAAAACAAAATCGTGTGATTGTCCAATAATCGTAAATAACATAATCAGATGAAATTTCGTTCCTAATAGAAAATCAGAGTCACCGTGCATACGATGTAAGATATAGAAGCTGTTCCTGTCAAATAAACACCGTGTATAAAGTGTAATCTTACAAATCTTACAAAGATCTTACTAGAGATCTTACAAATACTCGTGCATCGAAAGCGACGACATCAAAGATGTAAATGTTAACGAGAGACGGCACGGCTATTTGCTGATGACGCTGGCGTTTCCTTTTGGGGTTTCCAGTTCGACATACCGAAAAAGACCCTCGTTGCTATCTTTCTTATGTAGCTTCGTCCGACGTGCCCTCACAATTGGGCGATCAAAGCTTGATACGGCAAAGTGTTTCACGAAGTAATTAAACTTGCTGTCTCATGACATTCGTTAAACACGTACAGTACACTACTATATAACGCTAGTAGTATTTCCTACGATGTGACGCGACATAAGCTCGTTCACGAACCAATATAATTCCTGATTCCCGGTTTCCGGGAAAATCAAACGGACAGGCAAAGGTCCCAGGCAACTGAATTCGTCAATGGGCACGCTTTACGTGCTGTTATCTTTTTCACAAATTTGTATACTTACGACTTGATGTTTTGCGCGTTATCAATAATACAATAACGCAAATGTTAACGGCAAAGTATACATCTTTCACAAAAGAAGAATTCATTAACGTACAAGCATTAACGTACGGTTTATTCTCAGGAAACACAAGTCATTCTTATCGATGTAATTCAACGATTTAAAAAACACGGGGAAAAGACGACTTCTCCAATAACTTTCGATTTCACTCGAAATCAGGCTGTCATTAATTGAACGGTGAACGAAGGGAGCCGGTCGCTCGATGCAAAACAAACCACTAATTCGTTCGGTGCGATGAAATTAAAAAGAAAGAGAAAGGAACACGGTCGCGCTAAACGGAAGCAGCCGAAGCAGAGGAAAGTCGGTGGTTGCCCAGCAAAAGGGCACGGTGCAACCGGCTGATCGAGCACCCGTCACTAGCAGGCGTCTAACCGACGTTTTCCAATTCGCACGGCCATTCATCGGCCCCCGATCGACAAAAGCGCTGGCTCTTTTGCAAATTGTAAATGGAATTTGAGCGAATGCTCGCCGCTTATTCCTTGCTGGGAAAACGCATTGTTCGTCCTGTAGCCAACTGCTGCGATACTTTTCCTCGAGACCTGTGTGTTACAAGCGCGCTTTGATCTGCCAACCATATCATCCCCAACTTTCAGCTCCATATGTATTAACGTTGACCGGCTCACTAGTCTACTCCCGGCTAGATTTACGCTAATCCCTGCGAAAGATCCGAAGTGTGCAAAACGTTTGCAAACGTTTATGCAAGACGCATAAAGAATTTTTTTTGTTAGCTTTTTTAATTTTCTAACTGTCCATTCGATGGTTCCCTGTCTACATATCTTTCGCAAATGCTGAAAGCTCGATGACTTTTGGATTCTCTGTACTTCGTTGAGAAATTACGGTTTGACTGTTGTTAATACTCAGATAATGCTTTTGAAATTTTTTTTTTTGAAATGCTTTAGAACACGAATGCCTAAGAATGAAGCATTGTCAGTTATAAATTTCAGTCTAAACCTCGATTTCTCAATCTTTCAACAGTCTCTAATCTACAATGAAACGTTTAATCGAGGTTTTGATGATTGAAAGCAATTGCCGCTAGAAGTTCGGGTCGAGGAATCGTCCGTGTAAATAATAGATTTCCTCTCTTCCTCGGGGCAAGGTTATGATATTCATGAGAAAACAATGTCCACCGGTTTTCGCGATATTGGTTACTGTCGCATGTTTATTGTACAAATAACGTTCGTCATTGAACTTGTTTGGCCGGTTGTTAAATATTTGTATTGTTTGTAACGAGTAGAGACGATATTAATATCAGAAAATTCAGAGTTGCCAGGCATACCCGCTTTGTCTCGATCTGACGAATTGAAATTGGTCAAGGAAAACATCGTGTAATTTTTTGATGAGATGGAAGATCGAAACCGACACTTCTGTCATGTTTTTCTTCTCAGACTGAACCACGGGGAATACTGGAAAACTCTTTGCAGACGCATTACTAAGAAATCCTTGTCTCTGCGGTTAGAGCATTGAACTATGTTGTTTGGCGTTCTTTGTCGCTTTTTCTTGCTTCTCGTCGCTCAGCACCAATTGCACTGTCGTCGAGCCGCAACGACTCTTCGATGATTTGCGGTCAACCAATTAGCCGCATTAAAAGAGATTGTGGTAAGGAAAATTTAATTGTCTTGTCTAGATTATTCGTCGATAAACGAATATCTCTTTGCGATACAGATAACGACGCCACTTTTCGATCAACATCTCCTTTTACTTCTTGATCTTCTTTTCCGTGGTTCTTCTAGTTTTAGACTTTAATCTCGCGAAGGAAGGTAATTGATCGTAAGTAAGAGGATACTCGTTTTTATATCGCAGTTTCCAGCTGTGTTATTCTTATTAGGTTTCTAAGTACTTGCTTATTAACATTGTACAGCGACGAGAAAATGAAATGATCGGCCGTTACGTCGGTAGTGAACACAGTAATTGGCTTGCTGTTCGCGATGTTGCCTTCATGCTGCGGATATTTATTTCTTTCGGTGAGACAAAGAATGTTGCTTCGAAAAACCAAACTATCGGCTCACGTTATTGTCACCTTGCGAGAACAATTTACCGGCATGCTGAAACGTCATCTTAATACTCATAATCGTTTAGGAAATTAAGCGCTCTACCTCTTCTTGCTGGTCTTCTTTTTCCTCCTCTCTTCTTCAACATAGTTGTTGCCTGTCAATTTGAAGTTCTTGCTTCGTCCATGGATGACGCCACTTTACATGCAACAACTTTTACAAACTTTTTACTGATTGCGCTACAAAAGGGTAGCAAGAATGTATAAGTATAAAATATATATTCACCACAGGATACCACGTAGAAATAAAACAATCAGGATGTATTTCTTATTTTACTGTTTTATTTTCATTAAATAACGCGTCATCGAGCCGCATCATTATAATATGACCAGTTTCATGCTGTAGATTTCGAATTAGATATAAAAGATTGTGTTGAAAAAAACGTAGACGATAAAAACTAATCATACAAAGTAGTAATATTATAATTTACACGTAATCTAAGAGGCAATCCTGACGCAACACGAAAATCCTATTCGGCCAAATACTGAAATTTTTTTTCATTTCGACCTTTCGAGCCGTGCGTTGCCTTCTGAATTTTTCATAATCACCTATCATACACTACTGCGTGTCGATGCAAGGCCCTGTCGCGTCATCCGCGCACACACACGTTCTACTGCTTTGACCGTTTGGTAGACATAGCTGATCCTTGTTACATCTTCCGTTCTCGAATTGACAGGCGTTGGTTACTATCATGAACAGGCAAACGATAATTTACTAATTCACAGTGACGATTCATTCAATTACGAACGATAACACGGAATTATGATATCCGATGGGTTTTATACACTAACTTCTAAGAGGGTGATCAGTTTGACGGAGAGCACAGAAGAGAAACGATGACATAAAATTTGATTTACCTCTCGGACACGATTCAGGAACGACGACTATTCCATATAATTTACCGCTTCCCCCTGGTGGTACTGATATGGCCGGTTTCCTGTCCCCAGTGCTCTTCATGGCAACTTCGATTTTGTGACTACGATAGTAAATAATGGATGGAAATATCTTCGAACTTGCACGCTACTCTACTCGATTTTCCTAACTTGTTACGACCATCGTTTAAGCTTTACTATCTCTTAAGGTATTTTACTGCCTGTAGTAAAATACACTACGAAAGTGCTAACTATCATATCGCTCGGGTATTCAATTTATCTTGAGAATCTTTTATCTATTCCAAATAAGTACGTTGCAAGCTAATCAGATCTGTTGCATTATCGACGATAAACGAACTTACGTTTTCCAGTCGGTCCAATAATAATTTTGCTGCGAAATCGCTAGACCAAACGGATAGGTGAGCTCGTTGGCGACTACGTTAATTTTCCTGCTATCGATCTCCATGCAGCCTGTGAACGATTTTCAAAAAAGGTCAGAGAGAGATAGAGATTATCGAGTTAGGAGACGATGATCGTGTCGCGTCTATTAGCAGAGAAAATTTCATGGGGAGATCTGTCCTTACTTATCGTAAACGTTCCAGCATCCGACCAGCACAGCTCATCCATCGCCCAATCGATACTTAATGAATTCGGTAACTTCACGTAATCTCCTTGAAGGAAGATTGCACGTTCGGTACCATCCTCGTTGGCCCACTCCAATTTCGGTGACGCACGGTTCCAGTCGGACCAAAATATCTTCCTGGAAACCATCAAATATTCTCGTTTCGAATTACGAGCTTCATCATTTTCTCGTCAACGTGATGCCGCTGAATTATTCATGAATTATAGTGAATCTTCCATGGGACAGACGCTTTTCATTTGATTTATTGTTTAGCAGATGGACGATGGAATTTAGAAGAAACAATACTGACCCACGATACGGATGTACGGCTATTCCTCTAGGATTGACCAGTCCGACCGAAACGAGGACCTTCCGCTTCTTCGTCTCGAGATTGGCTACCTCGACGGTCGTTTTACCCGAGTCGGTCCAGAAAATATTTCTCGAGACCCAATCGACCGTCAGTCCCTCAGGGCTGCTAACTTTCGGCAAGAACGTCTCGGCCATCGATCCGTTGTACGTTAACTCGATTATTCGATTACCTAGAAAATAAATCTCGTCTAGACAGGGTTTCCTCGTTGCTGATATTTTCGCAAGAAAATTGCTTCGTATTTCCGACGACGTGAACTTTCAGAATATTGATATTTACCGGTGATGTCGCTCGAATAAGCCTTCCCGTTCATACAATCGATGTCAATCGCGATAGCCATCTGCGCGTACGCTATGTAAATCGGGCTACCGGAATTCTCATGCGTCGGCGCGAATGGAATTCTCAGCGTGGCCATTCCTTGATTCACCAGCAGGAAGTTGGCTTCGTGTTTCGGCCTCGGGTCGCAGTTGGTCCCATCTCCGGTGAAACCTTCGTTGCATACGCAAGAGAATTGATTTTCCCCGGCCGCTACGCACGTCGCGTTTGGTGAGCAGATCGTTAGATCGTGCCTGCAGGATGACTGAGGCAAACACGTGTAACCATCGCCATAATAGCCCTAAAAATGGTCAGAGATCGTTAGAAAGAAAACGGCATTTCTATCAAATGAATTACCAGAATTACTAAGCTAAACTTCGTTTCAACTAGTTACTGTATTAATGAGTGTACTGCGTCAGGGAATATCGAATAGCATTTAATCATCCATGATTTATTGCTACTGCCGTACTAATCGAACGTTTACATTACACCAATAACGTTCTCATTCGTTTTCAAATTTCCTACGAAATTACTAACATAACCATGCCTGATCGTCCGTACTAATGTTTTAAAGTTGTCCGATTAGTTACACTCTTTTTCCTTGCGAAATTACTACTGACGTGGCGTCTGATCACTCTTGGCTCACTACTACTATCAACGCTATAGAATAGAATGCAAAGTTGGCTGATCGATAACATTCTTACTACTTTCAAATACAGGATCGGATTATCACGAAGTCCATCAGTATGTAATCACACCAGCTTCACCGAGAAACCTATGATTCAGGATGAATTTGCGGATTCAATAAACATACCGGCTGGCAGATGCAGGCGAAATTTGTGGAGGTTTGATTGTAGCCACAGACCGCGTTCCTGCCGCAATTATTCAGCACGTTGCAACTGATGTGGTCCTCGACACATTGACGAATTCCATCACCGTTGTATCCCTCGATGCAGACGCACTTGTAGCCACCTTCGCCGGTGGACACGCACTGAGCGTTCACGTGGCACTGAGATGGATTGGTCGAGCAGTCGGACACTACGCAGTGACCGTCTACTATACTGAATCCTGAATTACATGTGCACTCGTACCGCGAGCTGGCCGGGTTATACGAACATCGTTCATTCTCCAAACAATCGTTCGTGCTGCTGCATTCGTCTAAATTAAAAACGGTTGTTGCAACAAACGAATTTTAGTAATCGATCGTATTTTTCATTTCAGGCAGGTTTTTAGAATTGATTTTGTCATGCGACCATTCTTTAGCAAAGTGCTAAAGATACGTTTCTCGTTTCTCGTAACTATACATTGAATGAAGTAAAAGAGGTTCGACTCTTTTAGAAAGAAAGTAAACGAGGTGACTTTGAGAAATAGATATTTTATAAGTAGGTTACGAATTTTTATGCAAATTCATATTTTTGAGAACTAAGAGGTGAGAGCATAAAAAATGATTCTACGTGAAAAAATGAGTCGAAAAGAAACAATAATATTTTTTCATTAAAACCTTTGTTTTTACAAATTTATCAAGTATACTTGAACTTAGTTAATTGTAGACATGGTAGAAAAGAATAATTAACAAGAGGGTATTACGAATGCAAATAAAATAAATAAAAAATATAGAATAAAATTTTTGTAAAATGCTTCATTTTCAAGAAAATCATGTTTGAAAATTTATCAAGTGTACCAAGGCAATTTTTAACGAAATAATTTTCTTGAAAATGCCTTAAATAAAAAAATTTTATTCTAAACTTTTCATTTTTATTTTTGCACATAGAATATCCTTTTGTTGATTATTTGCACTTGTCCAGTACAGAATTAACTAAATTCAAGTACACTTATACTATATAAATTTTTAAATTTTCGAATTTTTCAAAAACAAAGGCTTTAATGAAAAAATTTTATTGTTTCTTTTCAATTCATTTTTTCAATCCATAGAATCACTTTCTATTTGATTGTACCATCAGTTATGGGACATCCTATATATCTTGTTATATTATGTATTTTGTTGCAAGTTCGCAGATTAAAATTTTCTATAAATGCATAAAAATTCACAGTCTATAAGTGAAAATGTGTAATAAAGGAATTGGAAAAAAAATATGACCGATAGGACTGCACGTGGTTCCATCTCCTTCGTATCCTGGATTGCAGACACACTTGGCTAGAGACTCCTCTTGCTGGCATGACGCGTTCGGATCGCAAATGTCTACCTCCAAACAGGACACCTCTGTATCAGAACAACAATTTTCAATTGTCGTGGTAGTTGGTCTCGAGTGTGAACGATGACATCTCATAATAATGAGAGAAGAACAAGATGCGAGTTAACGTACCTGTTTTTGCGCATTCTATACCGTCACCTTCGTAACCGGGATTGCAGCGACATTCGTAGTCTCCGGTGCTTGTCACGTAGATACATTGGGCATAGGGATGACACCTGTTCACCACGTTGCACGACACTGGACACAAGCGTGAGCAATTATGATAATGTTCTGCCTGGTAACTCGTAATTGCTTCGACTATCCACGTCCGAGCGTTTCGTGACGGGGTTTTTGCATATCCATCGCATCGATCGTGTTTGAAAATGCTTAGGTGAAGACGTGCTAGGTGTTTTGTAACAGGTTGACCGTCATATTGTTCGTGCGATATTAATCGTTCAGCTAAACGGTATCGAAAATTTTATACGAAAGTTTTATAACTGTCAATAGGATGATCAATCTGTTATCCAAATATACTTAATCGCAAATGAAGAATGCTGGATATTTATTCGGTGCGTGCAAGAAGCATATAGCCCGCGTTAATAAATTTGTTAATAAATTTGTTAATAAATCAGTGGAAGTAAAGCTGGCTATCGTACAGTGAAATCCTGATGGACCCATCGTTTCGTGGTTGAATCCAATCCGAGGCACACAAATCTCTTTCGTATGATGGTAATTGTGTCCCCAAGGACATACGCAGTAGTCTTCGTAGCATTCCGGAAGTGGACGTGCTGATACTAGAACGCACGATGCAAACCGTTCGTCGCCGATAGTTAGTAATCATCGCAAATCGCATCAATCAATAATTATAATCGTTTCGTACTTGATACTATTGTTGCATTGCATCGAATCGTATTCTACGTGCGATTAGTTGTCATGCATCAAAATGTGCCATTCCCTTGAGGATCAGATTTCTAATAATATTTCTATAATCTTCCTCCCTGAATAACTCAAAAAATTCTATCGATTATAAAAATATAATTAAATTTTATATTTTCGTCACTTCCTTCCTCCAAGGATTGAAACTATCATTACGACGGTTGGGTTGAACCGTCGAATTTACGATAAAAGTAAAGATCTCCCCCGTGCAATTGAACTATTTCAAACATTTACAGCTAAGATTAATACTTAATAATAATACTTAATAATACTTAATAATTAATACTTGATAAATATTAATACTTAATAAAATGGTTACACTTGATAAATAAACCAAAATTCGAATGACACTTTGGTCGATATATCGGATTTGTACGAATATCCCTTTGTTGTACTTACAGTCCCGATCGGAGAATCCGGTTTTGGTCGTCTCTTCCTGCCGCGTACATTCGTTATTCCGATACTCCCAGCCTTTTGGACACCAGCACATCTCCTCCACGCATTGCGGTTTCGGCGGTTCGCCCACAGTGGTTACATCCGCGTCCGGATAGCACGTGTAACCATCACCTGGAAACGATCGTGATCAATCATCTGGAAGATGATCGCGAAATACGAAAGTGGTTTTACAAATCGCGATATCGTGTTGTAGGACACGAGGAAATTATGCGATCTCGCACTAGCACCCGAAACTATTGTGATTCCATTACAATTCAATCCTACATTGTCTTTTAAGTTCCTTAACGATTATAATAGAATTAGTTCTGTAGCATAGTTATGTTTAGCAATATTAAATGTTATTAGAATACGAAATTCAGAACGTTAAATCAATTTAGAAAATTATTCTTTACGTTGTCAAATAATAGCTTCTTACCAACGAAATCTGGTAAACAAATGCACACGTGTTTCTTCTTTTCGGTGTTGAAAGTGCAGATACCATTGGGTGAACAGTTATCCTCGACGTCACAGGTGGCTGAAACAACTCGTCGAATGGTACCGAACCTCGACAATTTTCCATATATAAAACAATGATTAAATCTCCTTACCATGTTGTGATACAGGATAACAACCTTGTTCGGTATCCTCGAAGCCAGGCAAGCAAATGCAATTAGGCATTCCATCGATCATCACGCATTGCTCGTAATTCCCGCATCTTGTTTCCTCGCAAGATGCAAGTCCTGTATTTCCAACAAAAGATGCATCAGTTACTGGCAATTAGTAAAACAGAGATTCATTTTCAAAGCCATTGAAATTTTTCGATCAGACTAGTGACTGGAGAGAGTTATCAGAGTACGGTAACTGACCCTCTGTTGGTAACTCACTTTCGCAAATTCGACCATTTCCAGAGAATCCAGGTCTGCACTGGCACGAATGGCTGCCTTCTTGATTAATGCATTGTGCGTCAGGGGAGCACATATGGTTTCCGGCGGTACATTCGTTTACATCCACACAGATTGCGCTTCCGTCTTCTTCGTATAAATACTGATAGCTGGAAGAACAAATTAGAAATTTCCTCGAAAAAAAGAAATTTTCGTGACAGCTTGTTTTCGCAAACCAGATAAAATCCTTCCCGATGTTTCAATTTACTTAACTACAATGCTATAAAAATAAAAAGGAACCATTCCTTCGACGTTTTACCTAAATCTTATACACGCTCTTTCAAGAATACACGTCTAGATCAAAGTGAAGCTTCTTACCCGGGATTACAGACACATTTGAAGCTATCGCCGTCGACGATGCAAGAACTATGGTCACTGCACGTCTCCTTTCCCTGGATACAGGGATCCTCTTCCTCGAGGGGCGCAACTTTTGTGTTGACCGCAAAACGTATAATCCCTTCGGTTGCTTCGTAAGTAGTAACTCCTCTATAGAACTTCAATCTAGTCGTGTCATCCTCGGGTTCGACGCTGAGATATGGGCACTCGTTATAAACAATCGTTTCATCCTGAATGAAACCAAGTTCTCGCTCTTCGCCACCTTCGTTCAGTTTGCAAGTTCTCTCGCTCCGCGCGCGGATCACGCCGGCTTGCGCTCTGGTATAAAGTTCATCATAGTCACCGTAGTCGACCCTTGTGTCGCTCGGCAGCTGCGGCAACGTACCTTCGATCTTCACTTCCACTTTTAACTGACCAAAGACATCCAGCCCGAGATAGCTGCTTCGCATGGTCAATTTGTCGCCGGTTGATAAGTATGTCAACTCGACCGTATGATTGAAAATGCCCCCTAAATCGATGGTTTGTCTACGTTAATTATTTTTAACTCGAGTTCTGTCTCGAGTTTTGGTTTTGGGATAATAAATAATATTAATAATTTGGCATAAGAAGTAGTGAAAGGAAACACAGCTAGAATAAGCAGAAACCAAAAATAACATTTGTCTCAAAAACTTTTATGGAAAAGATCAGTAGCTGAAACTTGTTTATTATTTACGAATATTAATCTTAAAATGTAGAGAAAATTTTTCAGGAAGCTACGTGATTAAACGTTTTGATTATAAATAACAATTATAAGTAAAACTAAAAATTTTTTTCGTTGTCGATAACCATCATCGATAAAGGGAACTCTATAATAGCTATAAGCTGTTATATTAATAATGAAGAAAATTCATTGTAGTTTTTTTTTCATTTCGACAGAGGTTTAAATACAGAAATTCGATTAGTTAGAATTCGAAATTCGATTAGTTAGAATTCGAAATTCGACTATCATAATTGATCACTCTAATCGAAGTTTGAACAGTTATGATAAATACCGACAAACATCTGAATGTATTCATATAATCATAACAGTTATGATTCGATGAGGAAAGCTTTAATTCGCTCATGATAATATAAATATATAAAATATAAAGATCTGCACTTTCATGAAACAATCTTCCACAACTGCATTAAAATCATAATAAAGTTACTGTTTGATGTAAATCTCGCGAAAATTAATGAAAAAAGAGAATCGAAATAAATATCTTTCATCGGTAACTACTGCGACCAATCATCAGTTTTCCTCGCCAATAACTGTTATGAGTAATCGAAAGAAATTTCTCTAATAATAGTTATTAGCAATGAAAAAATTGTTCTTAAAACTTATAATCATTATTTGCAATAAAAAACATTTTAGTCCAAAAATTGATTGTTATGCTGGGACTATTTTTATTTTGGTTATAATTTGGTTATGGTTCCTAAAGAAGAGCATTGTAGAATGATTGTCCATTGCTGACAAGAAGTTATTTGTTAGACGATAGAATAAGTAAATTAGTAGAAATAATTATTGGGATTAATAATAATAGAGATTGAGAAGAGTAATGTAATATGTGTGAAATGAGACGAGCCGTTTCCAGTTAGACGCATTCATAAAACTTTCATAAAACTTCTTATTAACTAAAATAACATTATTAATACAATAACATGGTCAGAAAGTACCTGTAAGCTCATATCCATTTCTCGTCTCACCGATGGATTTAGCGAACAACCAACCAATCACACTGCCCAGATTACCAAGCAATTGAAAACTAGCGCCAATTTCCTCGGGTACTCTCGATAAAGCCGTATACGTTCTTCCATCCTTCGGTTGCACGTAGCATTGAAGATCTCTCGCAGGAAATTCCACGCCGTTGATAGTCCCAGAAACACGTCCATTTACACGCAATGGGATATCTACAGATTCGGTAACCTTTTAAGTTTTTCTGGCTGATGACTCAAGTTAGCTTTTACTCGTAAATCATGGTGACAGAGTAAAGGACATTCAAAAGACCTTTCTTCGAAAATTTCCTCTTTTACGAAGTCATCGAAAGAGCAGCGAAACCAGTTCCCGTGATCTATGAATAGATCAGAGAGAACGCGACCGGAATCGTGTGTTGTTGCTCATTTCGCGACACTTGTCGCTGTCGAAAAGGAAAGACTGTCGGTTAAAAGTACAGGGACTTATGAAAGCGAATGTTTATGTAGCGTGGCTACATCAAAGAGACGTGACTCGTGGATAATTGGAGGGTTGCTGGGTTTACGACAGCGTAAGGAAGCGACGAATCTCACCATTCGGCAGACAAGATTTCCCATTGCCGAAGAATCCTTGCTTGCAGTGGCAGCAAAAGCCAACTTCATAGTCGACACACGTCGCCCTGTTGTGACAAGTCGTTGCTCCTGTTCTGCAGTTCACTACCTGATTCGTGGCACTATTATCTGATCGAAAAAGGAATAAGCAAACGCATGGCTAAAGTCTAAAGACGAACAATCGAACGAGAAGTTTGGACAATCTAAACTCAAGATTAGTATTTCATAGGAAATTCACCTTCGATGTTGTCGGGAACTTTCACGTCGCTGTCGTCGGAGATCGGACCAACCTGGAACAGCCACTGTCCAGGCCTGTTCACGTTCGACCATCTGAAGAACAATGCAGATAACAATTTCAGTCAAACAAAAGATTAATCGTACTTTGAACAATCGTTATATATATATCATGACTCACTTGTCGATATTTTGAATCTGATCCGTTCCAGAACCTTTCAACGTGTATATCCTTCCTTCGCTCATTAATCCTGCTTGTGCCTTCGCATCAGGTAGACCGTTTGGATGCGATTCACCTTGAATCCATTGTACACCGTTTTCCGGATATAAGAATTCGACGTAGGAATGCGTGCCATTCGATATGATAGCTACTTGGTACGTGTTTACCTGAGAGAGATCGAATGAAATTAGAAAGGAAGAGAAACTGCGATCAGTTTATTTATCCGTATCTCTTTCGTAAATGTCGAGAAAAAAAATTTCTTTATTCTATCATTCATTGCGATTCACCTTATCGCTTTTTTCGTTATAGTATCCAACGTCCACCCATGTGACGAGAAATACGTGAGTCGGTACGAATTCCACGACGTCTGCGAAAGCGCTGCGAATCATCCCTCCGGCTCTAGCGAGAACTTCCGGCGCATTCGTTTCGCCGTAATATACTCTTCCGGAGCCTCTGGTGTCGACGTGTGTATAGAGTGGTGCGATAACCGGATCGTCGAGCGGGAACGCGATATTGAAAAATCTTTGCATCGCCCTGGCGAAAGATAGGACGCCATTCCCGTTTACCTGCAACCAGGTACGATAATCTCTTTAGCTGTTGCTGTTCTTCTATATCCAGCCAAGTAGCAGAAGATCCGAAAGGAGCAGAAAATTCGATGGCTCTCTGCAATTAAAAATCTCATTACGTGAATGAAAATCGGGACGCAAGAACTCATTGAGTTTTCTAGTAAACTTTTGTTATCTGTTCGATGTAACCCAAAGATAAAATTTTCTCTGTGGCCTTTATCTAACTTTTACTCTAATCCCCTCGTAGATATGGATGTTTTTAAATTTCACAATCTTCTACGAGGCGATCGTGCCTCAAGGTAAAAATCTGCATATCTAGATTCTCTTTAATACAAGAGGAGTCGCGAAATGTGAGAAAACTCAAGAAATCTTCGATTGCTTCTGAATCGCGCGTTTATTAGTATTTCTAAATAATGGTTCTCTTCTTCGTAACTAGAATCTAAATCTAAAATCTTTTCAGCATCAATTCAATGAATGTTTAGTAAAAAAGAACAAAAGAAGACGACGATTATCTCTAGACGCATGTGTAGAGGTCATTGAACAGGTAAATAGAAAGCACGTGTCGAGGATCTGTCGATGATGTAACGAGGCGTCTCGTATGTGAGCACACCAAAATTTATTTAACTTATGAGCATCGTTTAACGAAGTCGAAACATTAGAAACAGTTAGAGCTCGAGACTGTAAGTGTACATGTCGTTTTGTCAGTTGACTAAACTAAAGAACGCCTTCGTTGTTCCATATTTATGCAGAGAGCAGCTGTGCCGTTACCACCACAGACAAACGAATCCCGACGTTTAACGGCGACCAAATTAAAACTTCACCAGAGTCCAATGTTTGCTGTCCCGCGAATATTTCCGTCTGTCTACGCGCGCCCTATTTCGTCGTGTATTTTTGGGTTACCGGGTTTCGTATGTAGGAGAAGAGATTTTATTACTTGAGAGTTATACAAAATCAGATTTCTGTTTAAGAAACATTTCTCAAAGGGATATTTGAATTCTGATGAATATAATGCCAAAATAATGAAAAGATGAAGCTTAAAAATTCAGAGATTCAAATAGAAATTTCGAATTTCTAAATTCGAGCTTCTGAATTTTTGACCTTGTATTTTAAACGCTTTATTTTTCAAATTCAATCTTCAATTCAAAATATTCAAATTATTTCTCGTAAAAGTTCCACAAATTGTGAATATATTAAATGAAACAATGTTGTAACACGTCTAATAGTACACATTCAAGCCGTGTATCGAACAAATGGAAAGACGGAAGCGAGGCTTCGTAGTCAACGAGTCTGACTAATTGACAAAGTTTAACGCGACAACCAAATTCCGGCCTGGTTTCGACCACTCTCACGTCCCGATTTCTCGACACGAACTCCTGATTGTTCAACGTATGTATTGTTTTCACGTGGTGTTAACACTACGACCACGTCGAATTTAACACGCGAGCCGGCGCATATCATTCAACGAGCGACCTGGTCGCGAGAATTGGCACAAATTAAATTGATCAAGCAATGATCCTCCTCTTCATCACGTGTTGACTCGCTGTCACGTTGCTCTTTAAATGCTTGGTATTATGTACATAAAGATTCATTCGATCATCTGTTCGATTTACTCATTTGTACCTTGCAATTTTTCGATCGACTCTTTTGCTGAAAGAACTCTTGTCCACCTAAAAGTGAATTACATAATTCTGTTCTTTCGATTTCGAAAGACAATTTCGTCTCACAAAGAAATAGTGCTAATTACGCTTTGATATCGTCTCATGATCGATCGAATCTTTCCTTCGTGACCGGTGTGTGCAATTTTACCCCAATTGGACTCTAATTGAAAAAGAGGAAAATGCAGCGAGAAGAAAAGAAGAATAGAAAAAAGAAACGAGTTGACAGTCAAGTCGTCGTAATTATTCTCGATCGAGCATCGAGCTTTTCTTTTCTTTTAATCTCGGTCACAATCGATAACAATTGGCACGGATTAGCCATTTCCGATTAGACGATTTTCGTGCGATAATTACGCGTCGGCAAACTGGGATCATCGATAATCGATAGAACCTGGCGACCAGTTTGAGAGTGTACATCGATCGTGTCTTCCTCGGCTGTCTCTCATTTTCTCTTTTTCTATCTATCTATTCATTTTTCTTTCGATCTCGTACGTTTTGATAGTGGCGCGTTTCGAGAGAGGAATCGAGACTGGCGCTATCTTCGTCGGGGCTATCATCGGGTCGTAGGTCACAGCTGAACCGATGACACACACGCACACACATAATCCTCCTGGTATATGCCGGAGAAACGGTGAAATAGATAAGGACTGTCTAAAAGTAATACGAGGAATCCATCTTGCTCGCTGATTCTCTTCCTGATGTCACCAATTATCCCGCGTTCACGTGTTAAATAAAAATCGAGAGGGGACTCGTGTCGAATGGAATAATTTAGAGCAACTGATTGTAATTGCATATCCTCGTAACCGTAATTATATTATAATTGTAAGCGTATATGATGATACGATCGTACGAGCGATTGACTAAATCTATTATCTCTACCACAGCTTACAAGTAGAGAGCAAAATTTGTCGTTCGTTTTACTCAAGTTTGGCTCGTCGACGAAGTTTCGAATTTAATTCGGGGAAAGAAGTGCTTTGAGACGAGCCGAGCGGAGCGACGTTAACTTGATTCCCTTTGAAACTCTAAAGAAATTAAACGGCAAAGGAGAGATTGCGGTTGCTGGAGAAACTGCAATCCGTGAGAGCTTAAGCCAAGCAGACAACAATCACAACTGCCCGCGCGACTGCGTTAAATTCCAACTTGTGCTCGTTTAAACTTCAAAACTCGATCGTTTTGCGGGACATTTTACAGTCAATAACAGGATTCACGAGCTGGCTAACCGTTCTTCTTCCAAGTGCCTCTTCCAGAGCCT